TTAGTGGGTCCAGGGTTCATGGAAAACATAGAAAGCCCGAACACAGTTGAATGCAAATGCTATCTGTCTAAGTTTCAACTTTTGGCGACCGAAATGCTGTGTAAAACGTTGAGGTCCTGCCGTCCGGGGACACTTAGGGACCCACGGACGTTGATATAAGTGCCTAAAAAGTGCATTAGTAAGCTGCTAAAAATGGAGGTTGCCAGAAGATGCAGATGCGATCACTGGAACAAGAAACTTATTTGCCTGACGTTTCGGATCCTCACTCGAATCCATCATCAGAGACATTCACAGATAAAGGTGATGGTGGCACCAGGAGTGCAGTATTTATAGCACGTGGCTGCCGTGGGACCATATGCGCACTGCAATTAACAGTTCTCGCAATCACCGCTGGGGTCGTAATTGATGCGATGGTGGCTTGTCGGTCCGAGTCCGAGTCGTTAACTGCCGCGATTTCGTCATCCGTGCTGGATGCTAGTGTGACGATTGCTCGGCAAACTGGCTCACTGTCACCGTGATGATTGCTCGCCCGCGCCCTCCCCACGTGACTGATTCGCCTGCCCAGGGAAAATCGCAGTGCGGCATAAGTTACCGGGAGGGCATTGTGCTCGTTGATGGATTGCGGGCCTGAGAACCATGATTCGAGCATCTCGCGGCTCACGCGGTTGTCACCCCTTGCGAGGATTTCGGCCTCTTGAAATTTGAAAATATGACCGGGTCCCGTCGAGTGTGCCGCCACCTGAGAGTTAGCGTCTCCCCGCCTCACTGCTGCTGCGTGCTCGACAATTCGCGTACGGAGTAATCTACCAGTTTCTCCGACATAATTGCTTTGTCCGCAACTACACCAGATCCGGTAAATGACTCCAGACGTGTCCTGCCGTGGCAGCGGGTCTTTTGGCCACATGATTTGGCGCCTAATGGTTGCTTCCGGCCTGTGTGCAACCCCACCTCCAAGTGGAGTGAGAAGACGACTGACGGTTTCCGAGACGTTCTTTACGTACGGAAGAGCCCGCCAAAATTTGGGGCCGATTGAATTTGGTCTCTGGTGTCCTTTTCGCATGCACTGGTTGACAAAGTTGCGCGGGCTACCATTGGCTCTCATTACCCGTCGAAGATAATGTAATTCAGCAACCTTGTCTTCCATTTCACTGCAGTGCGTCTCAACGCTCCGGTATAGTGCCCTTACGCAACTGCGTTCGTGACTGATTGGGCGGTTGCTTTTGAAGTTCAGTATTTGCGTCGTATTTGTCGCTTTCCTGAACACTTTGGTTTTTAGGCCACCACAATCTTTGCGGCAGACGAGGACATCCAGGAAGGCCAGTTGATTGTTTTCCTCCTCCTCCATCGTAAATTAAATGTCCGGGAAGACGGCGTTGAGTTGTTCTTTGAACGTCAGCACCTGATCCCGTTCGATGACGACGAAGGTGTCATCCACATACCGAGCCCAAAATTTCGGTCTGTGGTGTCAGAAACCCAGCGACTCCAGCCGTTGTGGACCGCCTCGGCTGTGTCCGTTTAGGCATTAGACATGATCGGCTCGATGAGCTAGACGGCTGCCGACAAAGACAGTTCACAAAATGCGCATTCAAAGGCACATTGATGGAATGAGGATCCTTAAAGGGTCTGGTGGACGATATTTGTTCGCATTAGCCATCGGGCTGTCGGACAACCCTACGTAGTCGGTTTGTTCTTCGTTTCTGATAAGCCTAACCCATTGGGCGACTTCCTGGGTGACCGCGTGTCGGATCCCGCGGACGTCATAACTAGTGACCTGTGCGTTCCGGTTACAGACGAAACGATAAAAGGGTTATTAGATAGTGCCATCTGTGACACTTCTGTGCGGTCTTTCATGAGAAAAATGAAGGCATATAATGGGTACTGTGGGTGCAACAGGTATGTTGTTTCGTTAACAACAGTCACTGCATGTGTTGCCATGTGTATAACCCAGTATTCCGATCGCATGACACTTCCAGTGTACACTGGGCGTTTGTGAGACGAAGGGTCATCCAGACTGCGAAGCCAGGTACTGCCCCACAAATGCAGATTGCCCTTCGAGGATTCATCTATTAGTATGATTCCTTCTCCCCAATAGACTACATGCCCCTTGTCTCTCCTAGTATCATGTGGAAGCTGCTGAATTTGTGGCGACTGGGGTCCAAGAAGTTGGCTGCTCAACCAAACGTCTCAACAAATAAATGTATTCAGTGTCTGCCTGCGGAATTTTTCCGCAGGGACAGTTATTTCGATTGCTTGGAAGCTTGGTGGGCTGCCGAATACCGGTAATTTTTGTTGCACATTGGTCCTACAGTTTTAGATTCTTTTTTAAGACCTCCAGTTCAGTTCAGTTCAGTTTATTGAGGGAAATTGGCGTAAGCCTTTGAGTACCCTATTTGCAACGTAAAAAACGTGTGGTGTACAGATAGATGTTCTGGGCTGAAATAGTTCGAACACGCCCATAATGGTGGGACAAAATGAGAAGGAGTTACAGGGGGTGAGCTCGACTTCTCATCGCTCTTGGCCGTTTCGGAACATAAATATGTCCAGATTCTTCTTAAAACTTTGTATAGATTGTGACATAACAACATCTGCGGGAAGCTCATTCCATGGTTTGACCACCCGAACCGAGAAGGAGAACTTCCGCACATCCAGCCGTGCCTGCTGAGTGCGCAGTTTTTACGGGTGACCTCGGAGATTAGTCGTGGTAGCAAATTCAAAAAAGTCCTCGAAGGCCAGACTGCAATCCAACTTCTTTATAAGGCGGAAGACTTGCAAGAGATCTCCGCGAAGTTGCCTGTAACTCAAAGGAAAGAGGTTCAGATTTACTAGGCGGGTCGCATAAGAAAAGGAGCTTTGACCCCTAACCATCTTCGTGGCTCTTCTCTGGACTCTTTCGAGGCAGTTTTGATCCACAACAGCCCACGGCCTCCAAGCTTGTTTGCCGTACTCTAAATGCGGCCGGACGAATGTTCCGAATGTCTTAGAGAAAGCTTCCTCTTCAAAGTCCATAAACGCACGCTTGATGGCGTACAGTACGGACATTGCGCTTTTTGCCACTTTCGAACAGTGGGCGGATGGTTTTAGGGAACTCGTCGTAAGCACACCGAGGTCCATTTGGGCTTCGACCTCTTGTAGGGCTGCACCGCCCAGAAAGTAGCCTCTTGTGCTGGCGGATCTGGCTGTGTTGCCTAGGCGAAGTATGCTACATTTGGCAACGTTGAACCGCAGGAGCCAACGGTTTGACCACTCCTCCAACCGATTTAGGTTCATCTGCAGTCTGTCTTCATCGGTAGGATCCCGAATTACACTCCATATCTTCATGTCATCCGCAAACATTGCTACTTCACAGTCTAAATCTCTTGCGGTATCGTCCACGTAGATAAGGAACAAAATGGGTCCCAGAACTGAACCCTGGGGGACACCACTATCGACCATAGCCGGATCTGATTTTCCCCGACCGATGCACACAACCTGGTGTCGACCCATAAGGAAGTTTTCGATCCATTTAAGGAAGTTGCCACCGATCCCTATTTTTTTCAGCTTATGTAAGAGTCTTTGGTGTGGCACAGTGTCGAAAGCCTTCTGGAAGTCGATGAAGGCTATGTGGACCGCGCGCCTGTCGTCGAGAGCTCGGGTCCAGCTCTGGAGAGATTGCAGCAGGTTTGTCGTGCAGGATCTTCCTTTCCGGAACCCATGTTGGCAGTTCGATAGCAGGCCGTGAACTTCAAGGAATTGCATCAGTTCACTCTTTATCATCCTTTCCATAACTTTGCAGAGAACACATGTCAAGCTTATGGGCCTGTAATTTGTCGTCGCTGCCCTGTTACCTCCTTTGTGCAGCGGAGTAACATGCGCCAGTTTCCAATCGATATGAAGTGTTCCAGTGTCAAATGACGTTTGAAAGAGCATCGACAAAGGCACAGAAAGCTCACTGGCAAATTCCTTGAGAAGCTTGGGTGGAATCTCGTCTGGTCCTGGCGACTTCGATTCGTTCAATGCCTCTAATTGTCTTCGGACAATGCCTTCTGAGAAGAGTATATCACTGACGCTTTGAGTCGGCAGTTCTTCTGTGGAGGGAGGAAGGAACCTTGTCTCGTTTGTGTAGACTGATTGGAAAAACCGTGAAAAATACGCAGCTTTATCCCAACGATCAGCGATCTCAACGCCATCAGTAGTCTTTATCAAGGGGATTTGATGCCTGTTCCTTGTACTTCGACGGAGGTAGCTGTAGAGCAATTTTGGGTTCTGCGTTGCTTTTTGTAGCAAGTTCTTCTCGAATTCCCGCAGCGTCTTTATGATCAGCTTTCTTAGTTTGTTCCTGCGTGTCTTGTAGGTGTTGAAGCATTCAGCTTGCCTAGTGACGCAGTATTTTCTCCACAATTAGTGCTTCCTGTTGATTTCTTTCTATAGGTTGCTATTTAGCCACCCAGGGCGTTTGTTCAGTCTTACACTAGTCAGTGGGCAGTGGTTGTTGATGAGCTGCAGGAGGACATTCTTGAACAGCTCCCAGTCATCGTTCGCACTTCCCGTAAACCATGGGCCACAGTTAAGACCGGATAAGTCTGCCCTCATCTGATTGAAGTTGCCCCGCCAAACATTACGTCTTTTGTGGTCTGGAGTGTGTGAAATGGAGAATAACGAATAATCCCACATAAGCACTACGTGGTCACTTCGGCCAAGGAGCGGCATGGAGACGATCTCGTCTATGCTGTCTGGTGTTTTCGTAAAGACCAGATCCAGGCAGTTTGCCCTTTGTCCTTCACGTGTTCTCGTTGGGAACATTACATTTTGTGTGAAGCACGCATTACCAATAGAAGCGAAGAGCCGAGTCCCAGGAAGTAGTCTTGAAGAAGGAAACACGATCGCCGGGACAAGAGCTTTATTAGCCTGACGTTTCGGATTCCTACTCGAATCCATCATCAGAGACAAAAGAGCAGAAACGGGTGGTTGTTGCACAAGGGGCTGCGGTATTTATAGGATGCAGCAGCCATGCTACCGCATACCTATGAATGTTCACGGCTTCCCCCTTCATCCAGGATTGTCACACTTGGTGTGATCATTGCTTGATGGCCAACATTCGAGTCGATAATTGCTGCAATTTCATCACGTGCGTTGGATGTTGGCGTGATGATTGCTCGACCATCTGACGCGTTGACCCGGGTGTTGGGAAGAGTGTTCACCAGTGCGCCCCCCGCGTGGCCAATTACTCCGCCTAGACGAAGTCTCAGCACGCTGTATGGAATGGGAAGATCGTTGCACTTGTTGATGGACTGGGGGCCAGTAAACCATGATTCCAGTAGCTCCCGGCTCACTCGGTTGTCACCTCTTGCGAGAATTTCGGCCTCATCGAATTTAAATGTGTGGCCGGATCTCGTCGAATGAGCCGCAACTTGAGAGCTGGCGTCATTTCTGCGCACCGCTGCCGCGTGTTCGGCCATTCTCGTTCGGAGCTGTCTTCCGGTTTCTCCGACGTAGTTGCTTTGTCCGCAACTGCACCAGATCCGATAAACGACTCCAGACGTTTCTAGCCGCGGCAGTGGGTCTTTCGGTTTCATGATCAGACGCCTGATGGTTGCCTCCGGTCTGTGTGCCACTCCAACCCCAAGTGGTGCGAGAAGGCGGCCGACAGCTTCCGAAACGTTCTTGACATACGGAAGTGCCCGCCAAGACTTGTTGTCCGTGCGGTAAGGCCTTTCGTCCCTTTTGCGTATGCACCGGTCGACAAAGTTGCGCGGGTAGCCATTGGCTTTGAAGACCCGTCGGAGGTATTGTAGTTCAGCAATTTTGTCTTCCGGCTCACTGCAGTGCGTTTCAACACGCCGATAGAGCGTCCTTACACAACTGCGTTTGTGGCTGATTGGGTGGTTACTGTTGAAGTTCAGTACTTGCATCGTATTTGTCGCTTTCCTGAACACTTTGGTCTTTAGTCCACCACAATCCTTGCGGCATACGAGGACATCCAGGAAGGCCAGTTGGTTGTTCTCTTCCTCCTCCCTCGTAAATTGAATGTCTGGGAAGACGGCGTTGAGATGTTCTTGGAATGTCAACACCTGATCCCGTTCGGTGACGACGAAGGTATCATCCACATACCGGGCCCAGAATTTCGGTCTGTGGTGTTGGAAGACCAGCGACTCTAACCGTTGCAGGACCGCCTCGGCGATGAATCCCGAAATCGGCGAACCCAGTGGTGTGCCCTTCACCTGTTCGTAGATTGACCCGTCGAACGTGAAGTACGTCCTGAGACAGAGCTTCAGGAGCTGAAGGATTTGGGCGTGTTCAAGACGGTTCTCCGTTTCATGGTATTTGCTTTGTAGTAGCAGTTTAATTGTCTCGATCGCCAGGTCCTGGGGAATAGAAGTAAAAAGGGAAGTCGCCCATGATCATGATGTTAAGTCGACTGGAAAATTTCTCCAACTGCTCCAATAGTTGAGTATCGGCGATTAGGTCTGTCCTAGGTGGTCGGTAGACAGTGAGGACATCGAGACACGGGGAACCGGTAGCCTTAATGGTCAACCAGATAGCTTCCGTACTGCACGCAATCTTTGTGGTGATATCCGACACTGTCAGACCTTCATTCACATACACAACGATACCACCACCCTGACGATGTTCACTGTTCCTCCGATAAATTTGGTATCCAGGCAAGGCTACTTCTTTATCGCTAATATTTCCGGACAGCCAGGTCTCAGTTACTGCTAAAAAATCTGGAGACAGCTCAACAAGTCAAAATTTTAGCTCGTCTAGTTTCGATATGAGGCTTTGGGCATTCGTGTACAAGCACCTCAGTTTAGCCCCAGCCGAATTTCCCGTTGCATTTGTTACTGCTGTGAGCATTACTCCGTTATCGCGGACGTCGTGTTCTCTAGGCTCTTCCGTTACCTGATTGGTTTCATTTACATGCCTTGTTTCAGTCAGATCACTGGAGGCTACGGGCTCACTTGTGTTGGCGCCTTGGTCAGGTGGTTCAACGAAGGTGTCTGTTTTAGCTGAGTAGATGTCGTCGTTCGTAGTATTACAGGCTGGTTCCACTGAAACGGCATATATTCCCGAAATACCTTCCCCTTGAAGATAGCCAGATTGTGTTCGCCATCCTTCAGTCTTGATTTTAACTCCAAGACAAGTTCCCGGCGTTTCAACCGTTCCGCTGGCGAATAGTCCGGTTGAAAATAAACCTGTTTGTGTGTGTTTCTGAGATCGGTTTTTTAGAGAGGATAAACTTGATTTGCTCTTTGTTCTCCAGCATAATTTTGAGAGGGCGAGGTGGTTGTTCTATTGTCCTGTCTTCACTCCTTTTTCCTATCCGGAATGCTTTCAGAACCTTTATTTCCATGTCTGCCGGCAGTAAATGGTTTAGCAGACCATGAAAAGAAGCAAGGTCCTCTGAGACACGGTCTTCAGGTCTGACTGCATTCGATTCTGACAAACCCTGAATAACCAGACACTGCTGGCGTGCAGGGTCCTCCTTACCCTGTCTTTCCGGTGAATGCGCTGCATGTGGGCGAGGACGATTTACGGAGTCATCGCTTGAACGCACACTTTTACTGTCTACCGACTGTCCCGAGCAACCCATCAGGGCTGGCTGTGACTGCAGAATCCTGTCATGGCGTTTACCTCTCCCCTCTACCCACGGGTTTATGTCTTCGCATTCAGATACGTGCTCTGTAGTGCGCTCGGGGTGGTTGCCAGAACAAGAGGGCAACAGTAGACTGGATGACCCAGGTATATCGTCTCCAGGCAGAAGAGAAATCCCATCACTTACAGCAAGAGGCTTAGGTGAGATGGCTTCCGCGACAGGTATTTTTTGCGACATCGCTTAAGACATCGTGCGTGGGAATCGAGTCTCCCTTTATCGGCGGCTTCGTTTTCTTTGTCCTGCTGTTACCGGCGTCTGCGGTTTTGGTAATTGAGTTGCAACTCGTGTTTGAAGATTCCCCCCAGGAGATATTTTTTCGCGTTTTTTGCGTTTTACTCTTCGTTTTTGGGATTCTAACACTGGACACGTTCTGACCGACTAGGGTCTGTTTCACGAGCGTCCTTAAATCAGCAAGCTCCTTTTCCAGTCGTTCTACTTTGATTTGAATATCTGCGCACCCACCACAAGGCTCGTCTTCGTACCTCACACATTTTGCGGTATTTACGCTTTTTGCACGCTTTGCTGGTCGTTGGCTGGAGGCGAAGGTAGAGCGAGCACAGGTTCTGGATGCGAAGGACAACTCACCGGACTTATCTTCCAAAAAGATGCTGTCGCTGGCCGTGCTACTACAGTTAGCTTGCTGAGAATCCATAAACTTCGACGTGATATAATAGGTATAATTTCGCTTTCGATGTTATAACGAATACGTCGGCTTATATATGATGAATTAAAGTGAGTATTCAATACTCAATAAGCGAAAAAATACTTAAAATCCGATAAATTTTGCTGAATTTAATCAGAAGCGACTTAGACCTTTCGAGATCTCGTGGGACTTTAATAACTGCAGACCTTGAAGGATTTTGAGCGGTTGGTTTTCTAGGCTGTATATCCGCGATTCGGTTGCGTAGCCAGCTGCGTTGTCAGTTGGACCGTGCTGATAAACAAATTGCGCTTAATCCAGGTTCCTGGCGAATTTCGATGCGTGAAAAAAATATTCCAAAAATGCACAAAGTAATTCTGTACGTACGGTTCCAGTATCAATGTCAGAGACTGTAACTGTGGAATGGTAACCAAGTCGAAATTGTCCCAGTTGGAGCGCAGAATAATTCCAGCGTGCTCAGTTGGGCTCAGGCAGCCCATTTGTAATTATCCGTTATTGTGTACGTACTGTACCAACACGACAATGTCAATCACTTTGGAGTATCGGGAAAGTCCTCTAAATTTCCTTTCGAGTCCTTTTTTGCAAGCACTTCGTAATTGTATAAAACGACTAATTAGCGTAGTCGAACAGGCGTTCAGGCGTTTATATGAAAGACGCCAGTGTGAGTCGCGGACATGCCCCGTGCTGTTGGACGACAGTGCGGGATTCCCACGGTCTTTTAGGTTATCCCGAAGGTCCACCGCCTTTTCCCCAACTGGTAAATTTTGTCAACTAAGTCGCCCGATAATTTTGTATGTATCGGTGATAGGCTGCGAGTACTGACATCTATTTCGGTTACCGAATAACAGCATCGCACTTTTGCTGACTACAGGGGCTTTTTACTACATTTGTGCCTTCTTCCATTTTGTATATTTTCAGAGCTTTAACATTAGACAGTAATATATCTACTGCCATTATTTCGGATACTGCATGAAGTTATGCTCCTTCTAACACTGACGATGACTTTTTCCTATCCACATTTTGCAAACACTTCATGTACAATGATTTTTTGAACCTTTTAAACTCCAAAACTCAGTCAGTATATGACTGGGACGTGCAAGATTTCTCGCAGAAGGATCGTGTTGCGGAATTTATAAGCGACATTTCATTGGTGGTTGTGACAAGTTCATTGTTCTATGATAATAATTGTGTAATGCGGTCTAAACTCGACAGGCGACGAACGGTTTTATCGGAGAAAAACTTGCGGCCGTCACAAGGTACCAAGATCAGCATACTCAGAGTGTTGAGAGACAATCTTACTTTAGAGATGTCCCACCGACTGACATGGAATTCCGGAGATACAGGCAACTTCTCCAGTTCTGAACCTGCAGAATTGGGTGAAGGCTACACAAACAAGTAGGTGTCTCATAGGTTAACGACTCCATGTAGGTATCGTCGTAGGCCAAACTTCAACGCCGGGGACAAATGTGAAACCGACCACTAAACGCAGTCAAATTGCGACTGGATGGTTGCATACACCACCACCACCACCACCACCACCACCACCACCACCACCACCACCACCACCACCACCACCACCACCACTACCACTACCATCACCATCACTATTACCACTACCACCGCAACTGATACTGTTGTAAGTATTGGTATACTAATTAATTTGTGGGGCAAGAACTGGTGACAATATTCCTCGTTCTTCCTGCGTTTGTGGTAAACATTTTCAGCCTGCACCAGTCGTCTGACACCAGTGTGCAGGTTTCGTTACCTGGTTACTTAAGACTGCCAACTGAAAACCAAGCAGCAGCAGCAGCAGCAGCAGCAGCAGCCCAGTCTAAGTGCTGTCCGCAGGTGCATTAGGAGTTGACTTACATGTAGTAAGGCTCCTTTCAGTTTTGTTAGCAAATACACGGTCAAAAATTCGACCGCCTCGCAAATCAGAATGTTTAGCTTATCAACAGACTGCAGCAGCCAAAAGCAATGGTAGCCGACAGACTGGAATCGATGCAGACGACGACTGTCACTGTCAACAAAAACTATCCGAAATGCATTTTCCCTTGTGCGTCAACGAAACGTATAAAGACTTCCTTGGTAGGCTAGGCAGGAGTTGGATTTGGCGCAGGAAGCGGTATGTAAATATGCATACTCATGTATTAATTATGGCTTCCAGGTTAAACAGCTGACCATGACTGGAGGGCAGAACAAGAATGAGTTAGTCAGGGATCTTTTGAGTGCCATGATCAGATCACGTCTGTGCCTCAGCTTTGGCTGGGACAGTTACAAGATAAAGTATTCGTTCATATTATGCCCATTGCACACCGTCCCGGGTGGTAGGTCTGAGGTTTTATGACACGTAGACAGGCAATATGTAAAACTGTAAAATTTGACTATCGTCGATCGGAGGTAGCTCACAAAGCGATTATTGAATAACTCTGTGAATCGAGATATCGGCACTGCGACAAAGCTAAATCCTGGAATAATGCCGGCATGGCAAATATATATAGGATAGCCTTTGAAAACCCTATTTACAGACATTGACTGAAAACACGTACATATGTTTACTTAGATATACGGATGCATTTTATCGGACCTTATAAAGAAAATGCGCGGCCTTCATATAAAATGACAACAAGTCTTCGTTTAAATGTTCTACGTTTTCCGCCAGAAAAACTGAATCAGGTATTTTGTTCCAATCATCAACCACCCGCTGAGAGAAGAAAGTCGCCCGTACTTCACGCTTGGCTTACTTTGTCTTAAGTTTATATATGTGACCTTCGAGATTTGTCGTTTGTGCTAGTTCAAAAAAATCAACCAATTTGAGTGCAGTCTTCTTCTCTGACAAGTTTGAAGAGCATGATCATGTCCCCTCTGTATTGCCTGTAATAGAGAGGGAAACGTTTGATCCTTTCTAGCCGTTCCTCATAAGGTAACCTCTTCAGCCCACCGACTAGTTTCACCGCTTCTCGTTGCACCTTCCCAAGAGAGCGCAATCTTGCTTCATTCAGGTGTGCCATGTCGGAATACGATATTCCGAAATCGGCCGGATAAATGTCCCAAACAGTCGACCGAAAAGCTCTTCGTCGAAGTTAAGGAAGGATCTCCTGATCGCTCCCAGAATGTCCATAGCCTTCTTTGCTAATTTGGCTCAGTGAGACGAGGGTTCGAGAGTGGACGCCATCCAAACACCGGGGCATTTACCTCATTTACAAGTTCGAGTTCGTGACTATCGAGGAAATAGTCATATTCAGCTCCCAAATCTTTCCTGCAACTAGACCTTAGACTGATGAATTGACGTTTGCAGAATTGAGATTGAGAAGCCATTCATCACACCACTGTGGCAGTCGATCTAAGTTTTTCGCAAGTTTAGCGCGTTTCTTTGGCTATTCAATCGAACTCCACATCTTCAACTCATCGGCGAACACCACCTTCTCGCAAGTTAGGCAGTCTGGGCAGTCGTTCACATATATCAAAAACAGAGTGGGACCCAGGAATCTCCCCTGCGGAGAACCGCTGTGAACGGTTTCCCACTCCGATTTGACATTACCAATGCACACACGCTGACGTCGGCCTGTGACGAAGTCGGTCAACCACTTGAGAAGGCTGTCAGTCGCACCCATATGGCGCAGTCTAGATATGAGCCGTCTGTGTAGCACCCTGTCGAAGGCTTTACTGAAGTCAATGTAAACTGCATCTACTGACAAACCCCTCTCTAAGGCTTTCCGTGGATATGAGCAGGTTAGTGAGACAGGCTCGACCACATCTTAATCCATGTTGATGCTCACTAAGCAACCCGTTCTCCTCAACGTGTCTAATCAGCTTCTCTTTCACAATTTTTTCCATTATTTTGCAACAACTTCTTGTGTGAATCACTGGTCTGAAGCTATTTGGCGAGTTTCTGTCTCTCCCTTTATATATGGGACTGATTTTGGCTAGCTTCCAGTTAGTAGGCAGACACCCTGCTTCCAGGTAAATTTCGAAGATCTTGAAGAGTGGGGAGGCCAGTTGGTCTGCGAGTGCATAGAGAACCTTCGCGTATAAACTGGAAGATATGGATTCGGGCCCTTGAGGTAACTGACGGAACACATCAGCTTCTGGTTAACCTGTCGCCATTGCTGCCGACACTGCACGGAGCCAGGAGCGTTATCAGTGCTCGTAAAATAAGAAGGGGCTCGCCAAATCTGGTCTATGAGAATGCTTATATTTCGGAAAACTTGGTCAGCTCACCATTGTTGAGGCTAAAATGCATTTAATGGAACAGAAAAAGATGTGGAGTGCTCCGTTAGTCGACTTTGTTTTGATCGATATTTTATCTCGCTGCCTCCGCCTTTTTGGAGATGTCTAGCAACACTTTTAGCTGCGTGTTCTAGGAGTTCCCACCTCGCCTTCACCGTCTCCGATCTTCCTGAATCTGTCTTTACACCGGGTTCAGAAGGGGGAGGAGAGAGTGTGGCAAGTGCGACACAAGTCTACTCTCACTATAAATCATGCGCAAGTCACCATCCCTGCTCTCAGCCTGCTG